ACGGGCCCATAGGCAATCTCCTAGGCGACCGGGTTTTAGCAAACTTTCCACCAAAACCTTTCCCAAAAACATTTTCTTTTATTTCTTTCAAAACTAATTTTCCATTTCTTTCCCAATGCTCATGCATGAATGCATCATGCCATTTTATGCTATGTCAATACTCTTCGTCATACATTTAATTCAAGTCTAAATCACTTAGCATACTTGCAAGAATTTCCAAAGAGTTTAGAACATGCTTCCATATCACAACGTCTAGCATTTTCCACACCATAGGCAAGTAATATTATCAATTAAGCATGCTTTTCCATATAATCTTAACTAACACATAGTCACATGCTTTACAAACTTTCTATGGCATAATTCATATTTTCAAGTCATGAAATTTAGCACCAAGGATGCAAAGAGCATAAATTAATCACCAATTAGGCATGTTTAATCATCATATACACATCAAGCAACACCCAATCACAACTTTGACACAGCATATATATAATATAACATAAAATTTCTACAAATCAAGCATCCTAAGCACAAATTTAGAAGATTAATTCACTAAAGACTAAGAAAATGTGAATTAGAAATCCCTACCTTGAAAAAGAATTGCTTCACTGGATTACCAAGTCTCCGCCTCTGCAACTCTCGGCTTCTTTCTCAATACTCAAACTCTCGGCTCTCTCTCTATCCCTCTCTCATTAAGCACTCTATCTTTCTCTTCTGTTAACTCACTCAGTGCACACACACACTATATTTATAAGCAAATGCATTCCACCGACAATAAAGAAAAAAAAATCAAGGAAACATTATTTTTGGTGGACCCACCACCCACTTTCTTTTTCCCGGCCTCATCATTTCATTTCTCTTATCACATCATATCTAACACACTCCAATACAATATCTCACTCCACCAGACCAAATCCACGTGAAGCCCACACTTTTGGCCAAAAAAAAAAAAAAATTCAATTCAAAGTTACAAACAAGTGGGCCCGTCACCACCACTTTTTTTTCTTTACTTTTCATACATGTCACTTAACAACTACATCAACCACAAATAAAAAGCAAGGCCACGTGAACAACCAAACCCAAATGGATTTTTGGCCAAACAAAATCCTAGCCTTGGGTCCCACCTTATTTTCAAAATTCCCTTCATTTTCCACCATTTCGGCTGCTTCCTTTATCTCCATCAGATGCACATACCTATATATATATATATAGTATATAATTGTAACCATACCAAAAAACAAACCAAATAAATTCTTTAAATATCAATGAGATGGGTCCTGCCACTTTATCATCAAAATCTTTCTTTCCCCTTTAATTTTGGCTACATCATCTTTCCACAATCAAGTTATAATATATATATATATATATATATACACAAATGTAACAACTCCAATTTAATCCCATGAAATATCATCAAGTGGGTCCCTCAATTAACATTACAAATCCAATCTTTTCTTCCTCACCAATTTCGGCTGGCACTTGCTCCCAACAGCTGCAACATAAATATATATATTGTGTAACAAAAATTAATTCTAACCCATTAAAAATCCTAATTGGGTAAATCTCCAATTTTTATTTTTTATTTTTTTAAATAATCAATGTCTGATAATTAAAAATCATGAAATAAATATAATTTCAACTTTTAAAAATCCGGGTTGTCATAGGCAGACCCATGAGGACAGGTGTGATATTGACTTGTAATAATCTTGGTGGCAATGAGATAGTCCATTCGAGTGCCATTAAGATGTGTGGGAGGGAAGTAGTTGGTCACAATGGAGATGCAAGGAAAAGTCAAGGACGTCTATTCTCCACAAGGGGAAGAAGATGACTTTTCACTACCAATCGGTGGTTTGTGGGCGGTTGGAGAAGGTTGCTGAAGGAGATGTCAAACTTGGAATTTCTGAGGTTACTTTTGGTAAGCATTTAGAGTTTGACAGAAATACTGGAGGTAAGCTTGTGGCTGTGCAAGACTTGCATGGGTTGAAGAATGAGAACCCGTGGGTTAAGTTTGAGCATGACTCAAACTTAACTAAAATTCTTAATTAATTTGTTTTGTGAAGAAGACAGTTTGTTTTGTAGAGATACAGTGGCTCATTTGAATTTTCGCCAAGGTGGAGATTTGTTGAACATATGGCTCAATTTGAGGCTTGCATCACCCATAATGTCATCAAGATTCTTGGCCTCCAAGAATGTGTGCCCAACAAGTCTTTTGAGTGGTCACCAAGTAGCCTCATTTTGGTGTCCCATTTTGGCTATAAATAGCCTTTGCCCTCCATAGTTTGAAGCATCCAAATCATCAATTCGATGTTTGAAATATCAGTTGGAGAGTGAGAGATTTTGGGTGTAATTGAGTTTTGGGTATGAGCCACTTAGTCTCGTATCTCTTTATTTTTATAGTGAAATTTTGTTCTGTCTTTTCTCCTTGAACGTAGGTATAGCCAAATCACGTAAATCATTGTCTCGTTTGTATGTGTGTCATTTTTTTTTTTTTTTTTTTTTTTGTCATTTATTTTTCTCTTATTCTCATAAACTCATATTCAATCATTTTTTCATAACAGTAGAGTACAATAACACTCCTAAGGTTTAAAAAAAGTCATTTACAAATTGGTTTCACACGCAGCTGTGGTACCTGACAAGACTTTGAGTAGCTTTAATGGCCATCCTAGATAAAGAAGGGATTTTGCCCCCTCGCTTGTACTCTCCCAACAACGTGGAAGGAAGGACCAGTTGGAAAGGTAAGAAATTTGAAACCCAATAAAAAAACAACGTACTAACCTATTATATAGAAAACATACCATTTCATCGTCCGATAGAAGCTTTAGAATACATATAAAAAATATATATATGCATGGTAACTGCATAAATGTCAAGTAAAATTATAGTATATTGCAATTAATCCTGGGGGAGCACAACCTCCTTGTTGATCCCGCAACGAAAACAGGTAAATTTCAACTCGAAGTTTCCTGGGTCAGCATCACCAGGTGTTAAGGTCTTCCTTCTAAACACAAGCTAGCCATCCCTTGTTCAAAAGCATTAGTTCGTGAAACATAATACAGAAACTAAGGTAGGATGATAATAATTGATAAAGTTTGGGTCCTTGTTTCATCCCAAAAAGAAAAAGAAGAAGAAAACCTCAAGCATGTATATATGAACCTAACCCCATTCATCTATAACCATTGTGAGCAAGTAGTAACCAACATTAGGAGATGGAGAAGCCCCTCTATAAGTGCCACCATTAACCCAACCAGCCTCATTCGTGACTATATTCTTGCTCCTATAAATATTACAGTTGTGTGGAAGTAATAACCAACATGTGTCCTTGAACAAGCTCGTCGATTACTGGTTAAATCCCAAGAGATCGGTTCCTTGATCAATGTCTTGGACTTAAGTGGTGAAATCCCAAGTGAGCGTGAGCTTTGCAGCTTGTCCAAAGCTTGAATACATCTATCTCAACTCGAACTGGCCGGAGGGAAACTTGACGTGGTTGAGTACTCTCTATGCATGACAACCAACTCTGGGGAATTCCAATCACCATATATAGGGTACTTAAAACTAGATTTAAGTGGTGGCAACTAGAACCTTGAGGCCCACTACTCATAGAAACTCGGATTCTAAACTTTGCTATTTGTGTCACAGTGATGAGTATCATCAACTAGGAAAATAAATAAATATATATATATATATTTTTTTTTTCTGTCACAGAGCCAGCTTATCGATCTTCTAATTCCTCTCACACTATATATAACATATTCCATCAGTGTTTTTGGCATATGTAAAATAATTTCCTATTTTATTTTATCTTGAACCTAGAAATTCATATACATTTCTCTGTGTGTAATGTGTACTTGTTGCTAGTTTTCTTCTTGAGCTCAGCATGTGAGTCTCAAGCGCCTTTTTTTTTTTTTTTTTTGTACATATTTCTCTTTCTTTTTTTGCACTCAATAGCTTTAAATTAGTAAAGAATAATGAAGTAGAAGGTACTTACATGCATGTATTCCGGTTCACCCACACTAGGGATCAGCTCCGGTCTATACTGTCCATTGCAATCTAGACATTTGAGTTTGAGTTCCTTATCGTACCGTCTAGTTGCAACCGCGTTTAGTTTTTGACAGTCGCACCTCCATTGGGTCCACTAGCAAAACATACTTAATTATGAGTATCATTTTATATAAAATAAAATAAAATAAAACAAAATAAAGTTATCATACACCAAATTGAAGTGGATCAGGTGGACCAGTGTAGAATCGTTGGGGCTACGGTTGCAGCCGCTGCCCAAAGGTGACTGGGCACGGCATACTCCGCCCTCAAAATCCATGGCGTACTCCTCCCGGGAAACCCTTATTTGATAGATACTCCCACACATACATTTTAGAGTAAAGTATTCCAGACAAAATATAAGAAATAAAATATATAAAACTAATAAAAGCAACAACAGAATACATTATATATATAATAATAAAATAATTATGTACAACCTCCTGTTCCCCATCATGGGGAAGCTGGTATGCTAGAACATCAAGGACCTCCAATTCGCGTGACTCAAGCGGGTCCATTTCTTGTGTTTGAGAGGGAGGGAAATCTGGTTTTGAGAGAGAGAAAAAAAAAAGAGATTATGGCCTTACTTGGAATGAGACTTTGAAAATAATTTTCAAGAATAATTATCAGAGAATCAGAACAGAAAATGGTTATCAGTTTTTTGAGTTTGAAAATCTGTTTAGTTGGAAAAACTACAAAACAATTTCCAGAGAATAAAAATTCATAAATCTACGTGGTTGTTGCATCTATTGAAAATAATTTTTCAACCAAAAAAATAAAAAATATTGCACATCACTATTTTATTTATCTATTTTAAAAATGTCAACTAATAACGCAATAGACAAATTTATTTATTTTATTTATTTATTTATTTATTTTTTTTTCTCCCAAGTCTATGGGTACATTAATAATTTATCTACTTGGCACCTATTGTGGCGTCGTTCTCATCACGAGGGCCAGATCGCATGTCTCCATGGATACTAAAACCTGATATTTTAGCTCCTAGGGTTGATATTTTAGCTGCAGGGGTACCCAATAGAGGAGTTGCACTTATAGGAGACGAGTATTTGCTTAGCAATTTTGAACTCCTCTCTGGCACTTCTATGGCTTCTCCCCATGCAGTTGGTGTAGCTGTGCTTCTAAAAACTCTCCACAAGGACTGGAGCCCAGCTGCCTTCCGATCAGCCATGATGACTACTGTTCATGTGATTGATAACACCAAAGGCTCCATCATTGACATGACCATTGGAGTTGCTGGAACTCCTCTTGATTATGGGGCAGGACATATTAACCCTGAAAAGGCCATGGATCTTGGTCTTGTTTATGATATAGGGGTTCAAGATTATATCAATTACTTGTGTGGAATGAACTACACAAGCAAACTAATTAAGATCATCACCAAGCGGTTGAATTTTAGCTGTGATAAAGCTGGTCTTGACCTTAATTATCTATCTTTTATTGTTATCCTCAACGACACCAACAATATGAGTTACACCTTTAACCAGGTATTAACAAATGTTGTAGATAGTCCTTCTACTTATTGTGCAGTGCTGAAGGCCCCGTCAGGGATGGAAGTGGTTGTGCAGCCTCCGGTGGTATGCTTTGCTGGAAAGTATAGCAAAGCCGAGTTCAATATAACGATAGAGGTCAGCGTTGGAGATGCTAGTCCACAGAGTGATTCCATAGTCAATTATGGGTATTTAATCTGGAATGATGTTAATGGGACTCATATGGTGAGAAGTCCTATTGTTGTTGCCTATGCACCTTAAGTAAGAGGTACATATTTGTAACGAACTGAACCCGAGGGTCCGAATCGCTAACCGGGTTCTTATCCGAAACCTAGATCATCTAGGGGCAGTGCTGTCATTACCAAGGTTAAGATGTAATTAATACACCCAACAGATCCTTTTAGTACGCAGTGGTGGAATGACCCAAATCATAAAGGTCCAATGCATGGATACCAGGAAACCCTTAAAAGATTGCCAAGAAATGAAAGAAAGAAAGGGAAAATACCTAGTAGACTACCCCTGTATAGTAGTCAACTAACCCCTAGTAGACTACGCCTGTATAGTATTTAACTAACCCCTAGTAGACTATGCCATGGTAGTCAACTAACCCACAGTAGACTATACCTGTATGGTAGTCAACTAACCCACAAAGAATACCTGGTGGGAAAGAAATAATCACCTGGCAACATTAATAATATACATCCCGTATCATCCTCATCAATGAAATTAACCAAAATAACCCATAGTCATCCCATTCATCCCAATATACCAACATAGTTATTACATGCTTCCATGGCCACACACAAAATACATCAAACAGCTGTCTAAAAATACAGGTACATTGTCAAGTTACAACGATAAAACAATTACATAGATTTTCTGAAAATTTTACAAAAGAGATATCATAATACAAAATGGCCAATAATAAATCTTTTCTAGTCATTAAAGTAGTATACAAAAAAAAATTTATTTTTATTTTTTATTTTTTTGTGGTGGGCTTCGCCCACCCTTCCCTCCCCCCTTGAACTCAATCACGTGACCTGAAAAATGTAGAGGAGTGAGCACAACGGCTCAGTAGAGATTGCCTAATGGGATCTCCTCAAACAAAGTAAATAACCACATGTTTTCCAGACAATGAATAGGGAAAAGAATTAGGGATCATGTGAGGGATTCACAAACAACACTTCCATTTTTCCGAATAACCATCATACCATTCAATGCAAAACAATGCATAAAATGCCCAATGCACACCCATATCACATCCACGCCTTCGTGTACCCACACATCACATCGCTCAACCCACATAATTTTCCTCTGTTTATAAACCCACTATGACATGTGTATAGAACGCTTCAATTTCATTTGTTCAATAATCAACATACTTTCATAACACAATTAACATTTTTAGCATGCAATAACATTTAGGGATCATCTAGCATATTTCTAGCCAAAACATCACAACAACCATGTGGTAAAAAAAAAAAAAAATTAATAAACCATCACATGGAAACTGAATAGCATGCCACTTGCAATTAATTTATACACAAGATAAACATTTAATCACGTAAAACACCTCAATTCAACAATTCAAGTGCAACTGAAAATCCTAAAATTTAATCATACATTTTAGGCATCAATTGACATGCTAAAGAGGGGCAAAAATATCTAATTAACTATTAAATCCAAGGAAATTGACAGTTAGACAACTCTACTCAATTTGAAGCAAAAGCCCCAATTTTTGAAATCCACCAAAGTCACCGAATTCCAACTTTGCTCCAATCAATTTGTAAATCTCGTTGAGCTCGTGAACTTTGCCTTCAATGGCAAAGTCAAATTCCCAATGAAATTATGTAAATCTAGCTTTGAAACGGATGAAAAACATACATATATAAAGCTTAGAGAGAGAAACTGCTGCAGCCAAAAAAAGAAAAAAGAATGGTCTTGTTGGTGACCATTTGGTCACCTAAAATGACTATGTCAATGGCGGGTCCCACGTGGTTAAATAAAAATCTTTTTAACATTTATACATATATATATATATATATATATATATATATATATATATATATACACTAACCACATTACAACCAATCATTTAACACATAGCCAAAAAGATTCTCGTACACAATAATACCGGTTGTGGGTCCTGCCGACTCGAAAATTAAAAAATGCCAAAATGGCAACCAATGCATTTCCAAAAGTCCTGAACTCAAAGAAATGCCTCTACCAACTCTCGGACCCATCCGACACACCCATGGTGTCCGGCACGCAAAATGAGACAAGACGAAAATACCCCTCAAAAATCATGAAAATTCTAAAAAATGAAAAATGGTAAAAATCGGAAACATTACATTCTCCCTAACTTGAAAAGATTTCATCCCTGAAATTAACCTGCTTCACAAGTGAAGGACGAAAGGATGCAAAAAGTGCTCCACGTAACACGCAACACCAAAAATCTCAACACGAAGAATCCTACGTCCCATGTCACTCGCAACCCTATGCTTGCAACTTGACGCAACATCGACCGAATAGTGACCACAGTCACATGAAACCTTTCCCCTACAATAACAAACTGGATGCAAAAGTACACCCTATGCCTAACAAAACTCTCTATCGCCACACACTAAGCACACGAGGCATAAGCCCCCAAACAAACTCCGTGACTTCACCGAGTCATAACCACTGAGAACCATCAGGATCGCCATCCTCTAGATTTGAATATACCACGAGTTGACACTAAATCCGCAAACAACAATTCCAGTCATCCATATGAATACATGCATCCCAAAAGGAATCAACTATTCCAAATCACCACAATACTCAACCATCTATTCTCTCTCGTGAGATCAAGGGAAAAACGCTCTTCCCAAGTCAAAAGCAATCCGAAACATAAGATCACATCAACCCAATCCACGCGAGATGTCCCACTAGAAAGTTGTTAGATCCCACAAAGCGGTAGGTCCAACCAGTAGCGCCTCACACAATCTGTGCTAAACACCCTAAGGCTCATAAGAACAGTGGTTACAAAACTACTTAATGAACCAACAAACGAGCTCAACTCACTATCCCAAAGATGCCCTTAAAACCATTTATGATGACTGCTATTTTTAATAGCTATAACATAGCTGAACACACCATCAGCATAGCTCAAGGATCAACTGATCTAACAACTGAAATTCCTTAGACACGTAGTCCCGTACTAAGTACACCACCATCCACGATAAGTCACCTGAACACGTATAAAGAATACCATCAATCCCAAGTAAGACTCACTTTAAAATGGGATCGTATTACCACACGTACGCAATGTACAACACTGTACTCCGACTGTCACTAAGCATACTAAAATCAATGATCGTTGACCTTTGACCCGACATTGTGTTAAGGAAAGACTGACTCAGAGAAATGGTTGGCCAGGCCATTCCCATCGTCTCTCTATGTCTAACTCTAGACACACGGTCTAACCATCTTCAATGTATAAGTCTTATCACGACTGCTAGGTACCATTACTAGCACTAAGACCCCAAGAAAACATACACAACGGTCAACGAGTCGCGTCTCACATCGCATCGATCATAACCTCTTGGAACGGGTCCCACGAAACCAAGGACTTCACCTCCTATCGTGAAGGCAAGTTGGACGATCTTTATTAAACCCTCACTCGGGATCCCCAATAAAAGAGGGAGCTCTAAAAAGTTCTTTCGCCCGCTTACATGCACAACACTTATACGGAGGTACAAAACTCATAGACAACAAAGTCCTTGCCAGGACCAAAACAAGAAGAAGGAAGATCAAGTCCCTCTACTGCAATAGAACAGAACACGCACCTGCCGATACTTTACATAAGCTATGCCAAGAAAGAGGAATTAAACGGAGACGAAACAACTCGATCCGTAACTTGTACACTTAACATCCATATGCAAAAGAGAACAGTGCCCTTTCCCAAACACTAGGGCTAGACAACGACTCCTAAGACATCGCGTCCCATCCTGCCCAAAGAAGAACCTTATAAGCAAAAAGCTATGCCATTCATTCATAGAAACAACTAGGTAATGCTGACTACAACCTCAATAACCTTTAAAGTAACATGGATAAAACCCTTCTGTCATTAATCCATCATTAAAACCATTACATAAGAGCTCAACTGCTCACAAAATACACATCATTGCCTTAATACATAGCAGTCACAACTGGTACATTATTACAACTTAAAAACTCATACAAAATATCTCAAACTATATCCTGCCCCAAGAGCTTATACTAAGCATCATTAACATCGTCCAGTCTGGAGCCATACTATGGGATATGTCCACCATCCTGGCACAGATGAACCCGACATTGCATAAAGTGCACAGGCACCTGTCCAAACTCATGGGTAGCCTCTATTACCAGAACAATAGTGTGCAGGCATTTCCTATCACACCCAATCTCGCAGGTATCCCCCGCTATAGAACTCATAGGTATCCCCCATTACAGAACTCACAGGTGTCCCCCGTTATTGCACTAGACTCACAGGTATCTCCTGTTATGACACGACACGACTCACAGGTAGCCCCCGTTACAACACGACACGATGCACTGACAATAACATGATAGGATACACATATGACATGACTCCCAGATAACTATGCAACACGACTCACAGACAACCGTGCAACACGACATGATTCACAGGTGTCCCCCATTACAACACAACATGACTCACAGGTGTCCCCCGTTATAACACAACATGACTCATAGGTGTCCCCCGTTACAACACGACATGCCTTACAGGTAACCCTCATTACAAAACTCACAGGTATCCCCCGTTACAGAACTTACAAGTATCCCCCATTACAACAGTCACATGTAACCCCCCGTTACATCTAGCATAACTATGCATAGGCATCTGCCCAATCACACAGGTATCCCCCGTTACACAAGAAACAATAACAGTAGTGTCTCATTTCCTCTGTGGACAATCTCTCTTCATGTGGCCCGACTGACCACACCGAAAACAAACTCCGGAACTAGGTCTATCAAGAGGACACTCTGTCTTGTGGTGTCCTGGCTGTCTACAATGATAATACACCAAACTCATCCTAGAGGACCCTGAAGAAACACCAACATTAGGAGTAGCACCTTCCGTTTGCTGCTCTTGAGAAAACAATGAAGCACTTCTGTGTCGTTTCCTTGCTCTAGGAAGAAGTACCCATACTTGCACCTCATCTTTGAGAAACCACAATACCACTCATTTCTTGCCAATCTTTGGCTTCTGCCTCTGCCATCAGTGCTCTCGTAACCGCTTCCGAGTAATTCTTTAATCTCAAGAGAGTCACCCCCGGCCTAATAGAATGATTTAGGCTGTACACAAAATGCCATGTTTTCTCCTCCTCGTTCCCTAACACATCTGTAGCAAAACGTGAAAGAGAAGTAAACTTATTCTCATACTCTGTCACTGACAAGTCACCTTGTTCAAGTCCGTCAAACTACGTCCTCAATTCCCATCTCTTAGTCTGCAGGAAATACTTATCAAAGGAAAGACTCTTGAATGTATCCCAACTCATACTGTCAATGCCATGCACACTAGTCATGGTCTTCCACCATACTGCCGCGTTGTTAACAAACTTATACATAGCTAAGGTGATTTTCAATCGACCATCGGGCACTGCTATTGCCTTGAAATGCTTTTCAACTTCATCTAACCAATCGTTCGCTACCAACGGGTCTGGACCTCCCTCAAATGTTACTTTCATGAGTTTGTCAAACTGAATCAGGTACCTAAGATTCCGCTCCATCTCTGTCTCCTGTGGCTGAATAGTCGGTTGTGGTACCACTTGAGGAGCTGTGGTACTCGCTAGATTCTGAAAGGCTGAGGCTACAGCCCTCGCTAATAAGACATCGTCCAGCGGTACTTATGGATTATTATCCACCCCTCTATTTTGGCCTTATCCCATTAAAACCCTATCTGGTTGGGATGGCCCTTCACCTACTTGTTCTCCAACTTCATTCGAATCCATCTCTCTACGTCACCCTCAAGCGCGATTCTACAAAAGCAACTATACGATCGAAACAGGAATACATGAAATAGCCCAATCTATGAGCTATGATGCTCATATTATCCGTTCGGTAAGAATAAAACATTCAAAAGCATAGAAGTAATCAAGCCCCTTACATACGTGGGTCAGAACCCTTGATAACCCAACATGCAATGCCGCCCCAAAACCTCAAACTCTTCAACAATGAAACAAACTATTTACGCAAACATCCACTGAACGACCATAACATAAACCTAAACGTGTAACTACGTCCCAAAATAAGATCACAACTATCGTGCTCAATTACATGCACTAAGAACTCGTGTAACATGCTTTAAATAATAATAACACTTAATAATTAAGCACGTAGTCAACTAAGCATGCTTTCATTAACAGTAACAATTAACAAATAAGCACATGACAAATCAAACATGTTCCAAACAATTTTAGTCATATAATCAGTTACACATAAATATTTAACATCAAACTGTTGATCATGATTTTACACTCGACAATCAATAAACTCAACGAGCAATAAACACATAAACATACAGTAAACATAGTAACATCTAAACACATAAGCACATAGCAATAAGTTATGCTTTTGAAACAAAAAGTAATAACCACATAAGCACGTAATGCCGTCAAACCCAATTCTAACTCCTCTAGGTCAACCCTACCCGTCGTCCTTAGGTTTTCGAACCTAAAACTCTGATACCAAATTTGTAACGAACTGAACTTGAGGGTCCGAATCGCTAACTGGGTCCTTACCTAAACCCGAGATCATCTAGGGGCAGTGCTGTCATTACCAAGGTTAAGATGTAATTAGTACACCCCACAGATCCTTCTAGTACGCATTGGTGGAATGACCCAAATCATAGAGGTCCAATGCATGGATACTAGGAAACCCTTAAAAGATTGCCAAGAAATGAAAGGAAAAAAGGGAAAATACCCAGTAGACTACCCCTGTGTAGTAGTCAACTAACCCCTAGTAGACTACGCCTATATGGTAGTCAACTAACCCACAGTAGACTACGCCTGGTAGTCAACTAACCCACAAAGAATACCTGGTGGGAAAGAAATAATCACCTGGCAACATTAATAATATACATCCTGTGTCATCCTCATCAATAAAATTAACCAAAATAACCCAGAGTCATCCCATTCATCCCAATATACCAATATAGTTATTACATGTTTCCATGGCCATACACAAAATACATCAAACTGTTGTCTAAAAATACGGGTACATTGTCAAGTTACAACAATAAAATAATTACATAGATTTTCTGAAAATTTTATAAAAGAGATATCATAATGCAGAACGGCCAATAATAAATCTTTTCTAGTCCCGTCCATGCTCGTGGAAGATCAACATCTACCAACTCAACCCCGTGACTTGAAAAATGTAGAGGAATGAGCATAACGGTTCAGTAAAGATTGCCTAAATGGCATCTCCTTAAGCAAAGTAAATAACCACATGTCTTCCAGACAATGAATAGGGAAAAGAGTTAGGGATCATGCGAGGGATTCACAAACAACACTTCCGCTTTTCCGAATAACCATCATACCATTCAAAGCAAAACAATACATAAAAAGCTCAATGGGCACCCACGTCACACCACACCCTCGTGTATCCACACATCACATCCACCTCGTGTATCCACACAATTCTCCTCTGCTTATGAACTCACTATGACATACGTATAGAATGTTTCAATTTCATTTGTTCAATAATCAACATACTTTCATAACACAATTAACATTTTTATCATGCTATAAACATTTAAGGATCATCTAGCGTATGTCTAACCAAAACATCACAACAACCATGTGTGAAAAAAAAAAAAAAAAAAAAATTGAATAAACCATCACATGGCAACTGAAGAGCATGCCACTTGCAATTTATACACAAGATAAACATTTAATCACGTAAAATGCCTCAATTCAACAATTCAAGTGCAAGCGAAAACTCTAAAATTTAATCATACATTTTAGGCATCAACTGACATGCTAAAGAGGGGCAAAAACATCTAATTAACTACTAAATCTAAGGAAATTGATAGTTAGACAACTCTACCTCAATTTGAAGCAAAAGCCCCAATTTTTGAAATCCACCGAAGTCATCCAATTCTAACTTTGCTTCAATCAATTTGTAGATCTCGTTGAGCTCGTGAACTTTGCTTTCAATGGCAAAGTCGAATTCCCAATGAAATTGTGTAAATCTAGCTTTGAAACGGATGAAAAACATACATATATAAAGCTTAGAAAGAGAAACTGTTGCAGCCAGAAGGAAGAAAGAATGGTCTAGTTGGTGACCATTTGGTCACCTAAAATAACTATGTCAATGGAGGGTTCCATGTGGTTAAACAAAAATCTTTTTAACATTTATACACACACATATATATATATATATTTATATATGCACTAACCACATTTCAACCAATTATTTAGCACATAGCCATATAAAGTACCTCAAATAATAATAAATGACATGCAACAGCTCTAAAAAATAATTCTCGTGCACAACGATACCGGTTAGGGGTCCCGCCCGACCTGAAAATTGAAAAATGCCGAAATGGCAATCAATGCATTTCCAAGAGTCCCCGAATTCAATGAAATGCCCCTACCAACTCTTGGAACCATCCGACACACTCATGGTGTCCGGCACGTAAAACGAGACAAGACGAAAATACCCCTGAAAAATAAAAAAAAATTCTAGAAAATGAAAAATGTTAAAAATAAAAAATATTATTGATTATTTGTGGGTATTTAATCTGGAATAATGTTAAGGACACTCATGTCCACATGAGAAGTTGTATTGTTTATTTAATAGGTATATATAATCAATTATTGTTTAAAGACCTATTAGCCATATGTCAAAGTGCTATTTGTGGGTATTTTATTCTATTGTTGTGGAATTTTGAGTGGTAAACAACCATTTATCCTTCAAACCTATTAGCCATATGCAGATTGCCACTTGTGGCAGTTTGAGAGAAACTCTCTAGTTTTGGTTAGAGAGCCCAGTTGTTAGAATATGTTATGTATGAGTATATATTTATCTATATATATATATATATATATATATGTATGTATGCAGAAATTCTTGTGGTGGTTATGAAGAAACACACTTTATATATATATATTTATGTATACAATACATGAGTTTAGAAATTCTTGTGGTTATGAAGAACCATACTTCAACCAGGATTTTGTTTTGCTATGCTACTATATTTGTGTATGCATGGCTGTTGATTAAGACATCTGTCCCGGATTAGAAGAATTATTCATCATTATCGATCACACACCATGTAAAATTTGGTCCCAACGTAATCTCAACATCACCATCTTCAGCATTAAATTATAGGGCATTACTTAGTGAATGTGTCACCTACACTTGTGGTTGGGAAGAAAGGCTAATTAACGTGAAGTGGGAGGGAGTGTTGAGATAAAATTTAGAATTAGTATTTGTAATTATTTTACATAAAGTGATTGCCCTTATATTTGAATTTGTTTTTTTGTGTTTGTCAATTTTATTTATTACCGTTGTCCCAAAATATATGATAATGTAAAGAGTTCCGGAAAATACCAAAAATTTACTTATCATACATTTAATGAGGCTTCAAATAGGTCTTGTGGTGGCGCTTAATCAGACAAGGTTTTTATGGTGCTTTGGCGCGTAAAATAAAATCATCCCACTAGTGAGCTCTACCCCTTTGATAACATGGATTCTTATTTCTCAATACTATCCGGTGAAATTATGGTTGCTCATGGTTAGTCCTGCTTCGCGTGAGCTGTTTGGTTATTTTTATTCCTCATCACATCATCTCTCCTCTTGTGTTGGTGGTAAATTCATTCTTCCTTGATCTATGTGATTTTCTTGGTGTGGTCATTTTTAAATATGACGTTTCTAAGCATAACTGTTAAAGATTTATGGAGGTGAATGAATTTTGCAGAAATCACACCAAATTATTATTTTTCAAATGAAAGTCAATTCTTGAGGGTATATGCTGTTGGAGAAGAACTGGACCCTTTGATATCAAGCATGATAAGATTAGCTCTATTTAGCTCTATACTCAAAATATATTTCTTCATTTAATTGAGTAGATCCAGCCGCTAAATTAGGCGACCAGAACTATGAGTGTCGCAGGCCGGCCTTCAGACAGCAGTAATTACTTCACTAGATATAGATATCCTTCAGTATTGCGCGAGTTTTCTTCAAAATAGACATTGACAACTTCTTGCTCTTGTAACATCTCTTTATTGACAACTTCTTGCTCTTGTAACATCTCTTTAGCCTTTCCTTCTGTCACGTGAGTAGGTGTCTCATTAACATGTCCCTGCGATAATATTTTTTTAGGTAGGTGTCTCATTAACATGTAAACAGAGTTATATAAGCACTTTGTAATTGTGCTGATTTCTTGAGAACTGCAGTCACTACACTGCAACAATGGAATGCTATCTTCCATACAAGCTCATCTCTCTCTTCCTTCTCCTTTCAACTGCTTTGTCAGCTACGATAGGGGATGATCGTGAGACCTACATCATCCACATGGACAAATCAGCTATGCCCACTCCCTTCTCAGATCATGATAATTGGTACACGTCGATGCTTTCATCCCTGTCATCGTCCGATCATGGTGTTTTCCCAACCCATCTCTACACCTACAACCATGTGTTGGATGGTTTCGGTGCAGTGCTATCTCGGTCTCAACTCGATCAGTTAGAGAAGATGCCAGGCCATATTGCCACATACCCTGAGACCTCTGGAAAGCTTCACACCACACATACACCAGAGTTTCTTGGCCTGAAAAAGAGTGCTGGCTTGTGGCCTCAAGCCAATTTTGGTGATGACACGATTATTGGTACAATCGACACTGGCATCTGGCCAGAAAGTGAGAGTTTCAGAGATGATGGCATGACCCCGGTGCCAGAGAGATGGCGCGGGGCATGTGAGTCGGGAGTAAATTTCAACTCTTCTTATTGTAACAAAAAACTCATTGGAGCTCGCTCTTTCAGTAAAGGGATGAAGCAACAAGGGCTAAACATATCAAGAACTGATGACTACGACTCTCCGAGGGACTTCTTAGGACATGGGACTCACACATCGTCCACTGCTGCTGGGAGCCCAGTACAAGGTGCCAATTACTTTGGTTATGCAAAAGGAACGGCAACTGGGGTTGCACCAAAAGCCCGGCTTGCCATGTACAAGGTTGTATTCCTCAATAGCACCTACGAGTCTGCTGCCACTGACACGTTAGCCGGCATGGACCAAGCCATAGCTGATGGAGTAGATCTCATGTCATTATCATTGGCTTTCAGAGAGACGCCTTTTGATGAAAACCCTATTGCAGTGGGAGCTTTTGCAGCCATGGAGAAAGGGATTTTTGTTGTTTGTTCAGCTGGCAACCGTGGTCCTGATGGTTTCACTGTACTCAATGGAGCTCCTTGGATCACAACTGTTGGTGCTGGGACAATCGATCGCGATTATGCAGCTAAGGTGACGCTTGGTGATGAGGTCCTCACTGTTAGTGGAAAATCTGTCTACCCATTAGACTTGTTAGTGTCTCGCGATCCAATATACTTTGGCCAAGGGAATAGAAGCAAAGAACTCTGCGAAGACTATGCTCTTGACCCAAAAGATGTTGCGGGGAAGTTTGTATTTTGTGACTTCATCAATGAAAGTGCAGCAGTTAATATGTTTGAAATAGAAAGGTCAGGAGCTGCTGGTGCAATCTTTAGTACTGCCTTCCAAAACTTTCTTCGGCCACGCGATTTCAATTTGCCATATGTGGCAGTAACCCAAAAACACGGAGATTTGATCAAAGACTACCTAATCAAGACGGAGAATGCAACTGTTAGCATCAAGTTCAAGATAACAGTGTTGGGTACCAAGCCTGCCCCTATTGTGGCGTGGTTCTCATCACGAGGGCCAGATCGCATGTCTCCATGGATACTAAAGCCTGATATTTTAGCTCCTGGGGTTGATATTTTAGCTGCATGGGTACCCAATAGAGGAGCTGCACCTATAGGAGACGACTATTTGCTTAGCGATTTTAAACTCCTCTCTGGCACTTCTATGGCTTCACCCCATGCAGTTGGTGTAGCAACGCTTCTAAAAATGCTCCACAAGGACTGGAGCCCAGCTGCCATCCGATCAGCCATGATGACTACCGCTTATGTGAATGATAACGCCAATGGCTCCATCATTGACATGACCACTGGAGTTGCTGGGACTCCTCTTGATTATGGGGCAGGACATATTAACCCTGAAAAGGCAATGGATCCTGGTCTTGTTTATGATATAGAGGTTCAGGATTATATCAATTACTTGTGTGGATTGAACTACACGAGCAAACAGATTAAGATCATCACCAAAAGGTCGAATTTCAGTTGTGATCAAGCCAGTCTTGATCTTAATTATCCATCTTTTATTGTTATCCTCAACGACACCAACACTATGAATTACACCTTTAACCGGGTATTAACAAATGTTGTAGATAGTCCCTCTACTTATCATGCAGTGGTGAAGGCTCCGTCAGGGATGGAAGTGGTTGTGCAGCCCCAGGTGGTATCCTTTGCTGGAAAGTACAGCAAAGCGGAGTTCAATATAACGATAGAGGTGACTGTTAAAGATGCTAATCCACTGAGTGATTCCCTAGTGAATTATGGGTATTTAAGCTGGAATGATGTTAACGGGACTCGTATGGTGAGAAGTCCTATTGTTGCTGTGTATGCACCTTAAGCAAGTGGTACATATTGCTGATTGAATGTTTGTGTGGGTATTTATGAAATAATGTTAAGGACACTTGTGTCCACATGATTGTTTATTGAAGAGGTATGTATAATCAATTATTGTTCCAAGACCTATTAGCCATGTGTCAAAGTGCTATTTGTGGGTATTTTATTCTATTGTTGTGGAATTTTGAGTGGTAGACAACCATTTATCCTTCGCACCTATCAGCCATATTGAGAGAAACTCCTCTTGTTTTGGTTAGAGAGCTCAGTTGTTAGAATATGTTATGTATGTGTATATATTTATCTATATATATATATGTAGAAATTCTTGTGGTGGTTATGAAGAAACATACTTGATATATATATATATATGTATGTATGTATGTATGTATGTATGAGTTCAGAAATTCTTGTGGTTACGAAGAACCAAACTTCAACCAAGGATTTTGTTTTCTCTGCTACTATGTGTATGCATGGCTGTTGATTAAGACATCTGTCCCGGATTAGAAGAATTATTCATCATTATCGATCACACACCATATTTCAAATTTGGTCCCAACATTATCTCAGCATCACCATCTTCATAATTAAATAATTGGACATTACTTACTGAATGTATCACTAGCGGCTGGGAAGAAATGCTAATTAATGGGAAGTGGGAGGGAGTGTTGAGATAAAATTTAGAATTAGTATTTGTAATTATTTTGCATAAAATTATTGTTCTTATATTCGAATTTATTCTTTCATGCTTGCCAATTTAATTTATTACCGTTGTCCCATGATAATATGATAATGTAAAGGGTTCTATAAAATTCAAATTTTTTTTTTTTTTCCAATTTTTTTTTTTTACTTATGATACTTCATTTAATGAGGCTTCAACTAGGTCTTATGGTGGTGCTTTATCAGACAAGGTTTTTGAGGCGCATTGTAATGACCCAACTAGATACCAAAAGAATAATAATAAAATAGATAAAATTTCGGCATGATCTCCGCAGAAAAAGTCCCTCTACAACCTGTTGAAATACAAAAAAAAAAATACAATGGCCTCACTGGGCCCTAAAAATAACCCGTCCTGTCCCAACGCACAATACAAATATTACATCACATTCCCAAAATAATTACATACATATTAAAAATTCCCTTCCACCATCTCATCCAAACAAGGAACAGTCCTATTACAACAAGTTACAGACCATAAATGTAGCTAAAGTTTTAAAGTCCATAACTTACAACATTATACTGATTAAACTAAAGTTTCTCAAAATAGTTAAGATTACATTTACAAAATACTAGAGTCTAATACAAAAGATAACAAAATGAAAATGAGTCTTCAAACTCGTTTAAAATTGTGGTGGATCATCGTCCGCCACCTCTTTTCCATATCCTGAAAAATGTTAAAAAAATAATAGGATGAGCATAAGCTCAGTAAGAAGTGTCTAAGACACACTTCTTATGACCCTGTGAATCCACACAAAGAATGGATAAAAAGGGACGGGGTCATACCATGGGAAATACATATTCTCAACCACAACAACAAATATGTAGCAAATGTCAACCAATCACAGATTTACTAAAATGCCATGAAGTGCAATGTTATGCAAATGTCGCTTCCCATTTCCGAAACAATTCCGTTTCAACAACCAAACCGTTAGTGTAATCCGACCCAAGGCACTTCCAAGGTGTCACGAATGGAGGGTTGACTAACTATCCACGACCACAAGGCATTTCCAAGGCATCGCATCCGGCCTAGTTAGCTCAACCATACTCTCTTCTAGACTACACTAGCAACACGGACCATTAGGCGTCTCCTAGGCGTCCGGTTTTCACAAACACCTTTGAAAATATTTTCCCAAAAATAATTTCATTTATTTTAAAACATTTTTTCCTTTTTTTTTTTTCCCAATGGATGCATGAATGTTTCATGCTTCTAATCATCAATTCAACTATAGGTTTTCACACATTCCATTTACATCATCATCACAATTTAATAAGAATTTCTAAACATTCATTTATTTTATTTATTTGTAACCATAGCATCAATTTTTCAAAGCAATAAATAAATAAATAAATAATCATAGATCATACAACATATCAACACTAAGCATACTCATTTACCGCAATGAAAATAGACATATATATGAACTCAAATAACACATAGAATACATTTATCATTTTGATTACATATAACTACAACAACAACAAACTAGATAATCAAAATTTAGCATGCTTAGGATCAAATTTAAGGAGAAAAATTCACAAAAGACCCAAGAAGTTGTAGATTAGAACACCCCTACCTCAAATTGATGAAAACCCCTAATTTGAGCCCAAGAACCCTAGAATTTTGAACTCCCTAGAGTGCACTGAAACTGAAATTGTTGGTACTCACACGTAGAGCTCTCCGTGCTCTTCGAATTGCCGTAAATGGCACCCAAAAATTCTAAGTATGGAAGGAGGAATCAAAGCTTGAAATTAGAAAAGAAAAAAGAAAAGAAAAGGGAAGCTTCAGGACAGAGATACGTAGAGAGAGAGAGAGAAATGGATATGGTTAATGGTCATTAGGCCTTATATGGTGTTTAAAATGTTAGAGGGGCCCACTTCCTTTTCTTTTTTTTTTGTTTTATTAAAAAAACTAAATAACTTTAACACATATATATATATATCCGTAAAACATTACATTCTCCTTAATTTTAAAAGATTGCATCCCTGAAATCAAGCCATACCTGAGGGAGAAAACAACTCTGGATACTTGGAGCGAACCTCCTGTTCGAGTTCCCAAGTTTCCTCCTCAACTCCGTGATGCCTCCAAAGAACTTTTACCAACGGTATCATTTTTTTTTTTTTTTTTTTTTTTTTTTTTTTTTTTTTTCTCAACACCTTCTGCTGTCTTTCAAGGATCTGAACTGATCCCTCCTCGTAGGAAACATTCTCATCAAACCGCAGGACTAGGAACTTAACAACCTTATTGCCTTTGTGTAACGACCCAAATCCGGGGATCCGGACCGTTAGCCGGTACCTTACTCGAACCCGAGGTCATCTACATCAAACCTAACATTTCAAGTGTCACAACATCACCCTTAGGATCATCTCTAGGTTTTCACAAAGTTCAAAACAATTTTCAAAGGTTCGAGAAGTGGATACATTGACGAGAGGAGCAAGCTGGACCAAACAGACTCACTTCGGTCGACTGAAGTAGAGCTTCGGTCGGCAGAAGTAGGCCCCCAAGAACCGGTTGACCGATAATTTGGTTCGATCGACCGAAGCTGAGATACTGAGAGCATGTGAAAGTTTCGGTCGACTGAACCCTATTTCGGTCGACCGAAATGGAGATCCCGAGAGTCAAAAGAGGGGTTCGGTCGACCAATGCACCATTTCGGTCAACCAAAGTGGCTTCTTCGAGCCCTGCATCCTGAAGCTGACCTGCTATGTTTTGAAATGAACTGAAAATGATTGTGGAAAGCTATAAAATGATTCGATCGTGAGCTAAGCCATCAAAATGAAACATTCCAAGGTCATGAACACGACTACTACCACACGATTATCATACAAGATCATTTGTTACAATTACCTAACGTTAATTATAATACTTACATTAGTTCCATTTACACCAAACAAATGCTAAGTCTCATACTTGAGTTACAAGGCCATGAATGATAACATTTGCTACATTTCCAAAACAATAGATATACAAAAGAATGGCCTAAGTACAAAATAGCAAAATGGTCTTCTAACAACTTTCAAGCCTGTGGTGGATTTTTATCCGCCAATTCTTTGCCGTAACCTGAAAAAAATGTAGAATATAATGGGGTGAGCGAATCGCTCAGTAGGTAGCACTTAAGACACGCCTCTTGTGTCCCCATGAATCCATACAAAGAATAGAGTAATGGGAATGGGGATCATACTATGTCGGGATAAAAATCACATAACGATCAATCACAAGTATACACAATATGATGCAATGGGAGTGCAATGCATGTTGATGTCGCTTCCCACTTTCATTTCAAAAACCGTCACTTTCAAACTATTAATATAACCCGCCCTTTGGTGACCCCGCAGTGACACGAGAGAAGGATTGGCTAGTGTACTTGACCCTTGGTACCCCCGCGGCGTCATTATGGGGCCTAGCTAGCTCAACCACGCTAGGGCAATCTCCCTAGTTCCCTCTAGGCTATATTAACCTTCCGATTCTTTGGTACCCCCGCGGCGACCGAGTTTTCATAAAACCATTTCATCAAAGCTCTTTCCCGAAATTCCCTTCTTTCATTTCAATACAATTCCCTTCATGCAACCCCATGATGTGCATATATATGTTCCGTGCTTTCAATGACATAAAATTTAGAGATTTACACCACATAATTTAGCATGCTTCATATTCATCATCTCTAGTAATTTATCAACACAATAAACATAGCAACACAACATCTAAGCATGCTTTTCTCATAAAACAACTCATACACATAATTATGGCTTTTTTAAACAATTAACTTTCAAATTAAGCATACTTGCAACAATAAATAAGGTATAATTCACCAAAGAGAAAAAAAAGACATGAATTAAGAAGCCCCTAACTCTAGATTGAGCAAAACCCTTGAAATGGGTCTCCAAATTCGAATACACAAGGGAGTACCAAAACTGAAATTGTTGCTACTCACGCATAGAGCTCGTCGTGCTCTCCGTTTTGCCTCAAACGGCACCTAAAATCACCAAGTATTGAGGGAGGAATCTTGATTCAAAGTTTTGGTTGATGAAGAGAAGAAAAATGAAGTGAAAAATGTGTGAGAGAGAAGATTACGGGGAGAGAGAAAGTGTGTGAATCAAATGTGGTCTCTAGACCACTTATAGGGTTAGTGGTGGGTCCCGCCATTTTGAATTTATTTTCTTTTCCCTTTTTCTTTTCGCTTTAATTTCCACATCACACACACACATAAATGCACCACATATAAATACCACTTAATCCACATAAATTAAAATGCACAAAAGCAAATGGACCCAACCATAAAACGCGAAAAGACAAAAATACCCTTGCACTAACGAATTACCGAAAAAATGAAAAATGCTGAAAATTGGAAACGTCACAATCTCCCCAACTTAAAAGGATTTTGTCCCCGAAATCAAACCATACTTGGGGAAGAAAACAACTCTGGGTACCTGGAGCGAACCTGTTGTTCGAGCTCCCAAGTAGCCTTAT